GAGCATGCTGGATTGCACAATGGACTCTTTTTTCCTCTTTGATCATAAAGCTATGAACTGAGAGCTTTGAGCAACCACTGCTCCAACCTCGTTAAAGAAGTTGGAGAAGAGAAGTAAGCGTCAGAGAGGAGCAGTGAGAAGTGAAAGACTCAAGGGATTGAGCCACTATGCTTCCCAGCCATCAGAGTAGGTTTAAAAAGAATTCCCTACGGAAAACAGCACGGTGGTTTCTCAAAAAATTAAAAAGAATTTATGAGCCAACAATTCCACTTATGGGTATTACTCAAAAAGAACTGAAAGCAGGGACTCAAAAAGTTATTTGTAAAAATAATTGTTAAAAGCAGCATTCTTTGTAAAGCCAAAGGGTGGAAGCAACCCAAATGATCACCTATGAAAAGATAAAATGATAAAAAAACAATTTCACACAGACTTAAAAAAAAAGGAAGTTTAGACACATGTATGATATCACAGAACGATGCCTCTTATGAAGTGGCTTAAGTATCTCCGACTCAGAGACAAAGTAGAATGGTGGTTGCCTGGAGTTAGTGAGAAGGAGAGAATGTAGAGTTGTTTAATGGGTATGGTTTCAGTTTTACAAGATAAAAACAGCTCTGGAGATTGGTTGTGTAACAGTGTGAATGTATTTATAACTATATATATATATAGTTATATAGTACATAACTATATATCAGTACACTCAAAAATGGTTAAGACAGTAAATTTTATGTTAAGCACATTTTACCACAATTAAAAACGTTTTTTTCCTTAAACTGATCACATGCAACTAAAAAAAAAATTCCTGTTGAATAGAAAACTTGATATCTAAGTATATTCTTAAACCTTGATATTAGAACTGACCAACTCAGGATGGTAAGAATTACCCCGCACAGGCTAGAAAGTTGGCAGTTCCTATCCTGGAGCAAACCAGCTGATTAAACCTGATGTGTTTTGGTACTCACACTACATGCTGACCTTTAGAGAATGTGACAGAAAATGGCAGGATATTAACCTGCTTTGGCTACTTCTTACACATTTTTCAGTACAGTGAGTGCCTCAAGAAAAACAATCTCGGGTATAAACGAGGCTGCCTGAAAGCGGAAACAAAACGATAACCATGACACGAAGGGCCTTAATCCTCCTTTCTATTAAACTCCAACAGTCGCAGTTTCCACTGGACACCAAGCCAGATTAGGAATGGAGATACCTAAAAGGATTCAGGAAAGGAGAATCCCAATAACCCAGATTCCTCAGAAGTATCTCTCCTATAAGTTGCTGCCTACTCCACTCCCAACTCTGATAAGCCCATAATTAAATGGGCTGCAACACTGTAGAAAGGGGCCAAGCAGCACCACTTAATAATTTCATGAAGAAAAGCAGAGTTCTCAGGCCTGTTGGAATAAACAGAAAGGAATCACCAGAGCACAGTTCAATTCAAAGACTGCAAGTTTTAAATTAATAGCTAATAGAGTTTCATTAATATTATAAAATAACTTAAATCTACGGACAGGTAAAAAGACTTCTAAATTGTTTTGCCAGAAAAAACTCCAAGCCTAGCAAAGAGAAGCCTAGATACCTAGTACAATCTCTGGGTACCCAACTGCTCTACAAAGAAACAGGCTGCTGAGCTACTGTGGCTGCAGCCAGACACAGCCTCTCCACTGTCTCCCTTATGGTGTCATGAAAGACAAAAGGCGATGATCAAGGAATTGCATCCCAGCTGCAGAACATAAAACCAGGGAACAACAGGTTGGCTGATCAAGAATCTCTAATGCAATGGAAAAGTGGTAGAGCTAGTGGTAAAGAACCTGCCTGCCTAATGCCAGAGATGTAAGAGATGTGGCTTCAAACTGTGGGTCGGGAAGATCCCCTGGAAGAGGGCATGGCAACCCACTCCGGTATTCTTGCCTAGAGAGGGGCCTGGAGGGCTACAGTTCAAATAGTCTGAAAGAGGCAGATCTAACTGGAGCAACTTAGCATGCACACACACGGCCTTCTTCAGAGATGCTGGACTTGCAGCCGGTGAGCCCTACTTTTTCTTTCCCAGGCCAAATTTTCTTTCAATTATAAATATCTCAGAAGGTCTGCCACACAAACAGCTAAATAAAACATTCGTAAAGAAAGAACACAAATCCAAGAAATGCTGTAAGAACTGGGGAAGTTAAGGAGAATCAAATATCTTGGTAATATTTACTATGGCTTTAAAACACACACATACATGTGTGCACATGCACAGATACCCCTAAGGCCTGAGATGATAAAAAGAATATCCAGAAAAATCCAGGACAAAATTTCATACACTATCAATATGATATAGAAAGGAGAGGCCAAAGTATATGGGAGCATGCTAAAGTATTTAAAAGGAAGATGTATAAATTTAAAAGTTTAATAAATCAACTAAGATACAGGATACTCTTAAGGACAACCATTTTAAGTTCAACAGAACACAAAGTCCTAAATAAATGATATCCATCTACATTTCCAGATGCAAATGCATTGCACTTCAATAATGTAAAGGCTTTATCCAACCCAGATGCCCATCAGCAGACNAGAGGGAGGTGGGAGGGGGGACTGGGATGGGGAATACATGTAAATCCATGGCTGATTCGTTTCAATGTATGACAAAAACTACTGTAACGATGTAAAGTGATTAGCCTCCAACTAATAAAAATAAATGGAAAAAAAAAATAAATAAATGGAAAAAAAAAATAATGTAAAGGCTTTATAAAGCATTATTACCCCCAGCAATTCTTATTTGCTGTTTAAAAAAAAAAAAACTTTCCTAAAGATTATTTTCATGACATTTTTAAAGTTAATTTTGTGAATTTTTTTTTTTTTTAACCATGTCATGAGGCTTGTAAAATTTTACTTCCCTGACCCAGGATTGAAGCTGGGCCCCAGACAGTGAGAGTGCAAAGCCCTAACCACTGGACTGCCAGGAATGTCCCAAATATGTGATTTTTTTAAGTCATTTTACTGCTGACATAAGCCTTTTAAAAATCAATTATTTTTAACATTCTACATATGCTTTATAATTTTTTGCTCTTGTCTAATATTTTCAAGACCATGACCACATTTCCTTTCTTATTAAATCAAGCAAGTCCTCTAATACATTCTGACATCCACAAAGCAAATACACTTGCAGAAAAGAGTCTGAATTCATGAGGAAATGGTGACAGGAAACAAAAGACAACAAACACGTAAGTAGTTCCTAATAAAGAAGGGAAAAGAAGAAAGAAAAGGAAGAAGAATATACTAGTAACAAGGAAATTTGACAGTCATGAAGAGAAAGGAAATTTTAAATATAAAAAGCTTTCAGAGAGAAATACTGTAGGAAAAGGTTATATATCATAAATAATCACCTATACAAATGAATGTGTTATTCCCCACAGAGGGCATAACAAGTTGCCATTTAAACAAACCACCTGACAGAGAATCAAATCCAAAAGAAACTGATGTGCGGAAGTGACAGCCTCCCACATCCTAGACAGTAGATTTTGAAGGAAAATGCGGAATCTTAAACAGCTCAGAGGAGACAAAGACTCAAGAGTAAGGTATCCATCAATGTCCAACTAGGAAATGAAAACAACTCAGGGTATTCATAATTGGGAGCTTAATACAGACAACTGGTTACACAGATGGTGGCCTACTGAATTAGCAACAGCAGGAAGCCAATTCCACCCCTAAGCTAGGAAAACAGGGAGGAAAGCAGGGTGCCGGGGTCACCCCGCAGAAAGGCAAGCAGAGCTGCCCAGGGCAAGAGAGAAGCACAGAGGAAATGCGGCGGCCAACAGAGGGAGAGGGGATAATACTCTCCCTTTCTCCCATCCTCCCTTTCGATCTCCTACCAGTGCCCCCCAAGCTCAGCCAGGAGAGAACAGACAAGAAGCAGCCCTTTGCAAGAGGGAGCAGAAAGGAGCAATGACATGGAAGGAAGGTGTCAGAACAAACAGGCCTTGGACGGGCATAAATTCTGCTCAGGAATATAATGTTTTAAAAAACTAATTTCCTGTTTATTTACTTATTTGGCTACACCAAGCTTGGGGTTCCCTCATAGCTCATTCGGTAAAGAATCTGCCTGCAACACAGGAGGCCTGGGTTCGATTCCTGGGTCGGGAAGAGCCCCTGGAGAAGGAAATGGCAATCCATTCCAGTATTCTTGCCTGGAGAATTCCATGGACAGAGGAGCCTCGTGGGCTACAATCCATGGGACTGCAAGAGTCGGACATGACTTAGCGACTAAAGCAAACCACCACCACCACCACCAAGGCTTGCTTGCAGCACACAGGATCTTCAGCTATGACACTCAAACTCTTAGTTGCAGCATGTGGTATCTAGTTCCCCAACCAGGGATTGAATCCCCGCCCCCTGCACTGGAAACAGAGTCTTAGCCACTGGACCACCAGGGAAGTCCAGGAAAATATTTGAAAGTCTAAAAAGTTCAACACTAATTATTATTGTGCGGTTATAAATCCCATACAACTGACCAAACTTGAATTAACAAAACTTTTTTCCTAAGAAATTGTTATCTTACTTGGATTTAAAGTTTAAGGCTAAAAAAAAAAAAGTTTAAGGCTAGATACTACATGTACAATCACTCTAAGACTTCTACAATACAATATTAATTCTAATCAAGTTTCTATAGCTGAATATTACTTTTAAATTAAAAATAAATGTTTTTGTATATTATCTNCACTGGGAAGACCCAGAGGGATGGGGTGGAGAGGGAGGTGGGAGGGGGGACTGGGATGGGGAATACATGTAAATCCATGGCTAATTCATTTCAATGTATGACAAAAACTACTGTAATGATGTAAAGTAATTAGCCTCCAACTAATAAAAATAAATGGAAAAAAAATAAAAAATAAAAATAAATGTTTTTTTTTAAACTTAAAAAGTCATTTTAAGAGCAAGTAATCTGACAAAAGGTAAGGGTTCTCTTTTTGGAATCAGGTCAACCTCAAACATTTAATTCAGATGCCCCCCAAAAGTTAAAAGCATACCATTTAAATCTGCATTTTCAAATCTGACCCAGACTATTTTCTCCTTTTCTTCTGTTAGAGGTGTTCCACTGTAAGCCTGTACAGTAAACAGAAACATGTGAATGAAAATGTTTTATAGCACAAATACTACTGATATTCAAAACAAAGAGTAATTGAACCCCTCCAACCTCACCAATTCTACATCTTAAGAACTGGCACATTTTGTAATATTTTTATTTTCAAAGAAAGCTATCCAGGAGTCTATAATCTTGATCAGGAAAGGGTTTATAGCCTAAGAACTGCAGAAACCTAAAATACAATGATCAGAGTCTACTGAAAGTGTCACTATAATTCAAAGACACTGAAAAAACTAATCTCCTATACCGGTCAACAAATAAAGCTGAAGAAATAAACCAAACTACCACAAATATCGATTTAGTTTCCAAGTGTTTATGATCAGGCAATTATACTCTCCCTAAAATTGTCAAGATCATTACTTTCTGCTAACCACCAGTTCCAGGTGGAAGGTGCTGGCCAGAGTTGGGGATGGAAAAAACATACTACTTTTTCAGTCTCTTATCTGGCCTCTAGACCCAACTCTTAAGCTTTCTTACAAGCCCACAGGGGTCACAAAGATAAGCATAAACTACTGTGAAGTCACTGTGAGAGTATTAACAGTATCCACCAGCATTCTTTTTAAAGTGAACTATTTTTAAAATTTTTATTGAATCTGTTGCAATATTGTTTCCGTTTTATCTTTTGGTTTTTGGTTGTGAGGAAAGGGGGATCTCAGCTCCCTGACCAGGAACTGAACCTGCACCATCTGCACGGGAAATTGAAGTCCTAACCACCGGACCGCCAGGGAAGTCTCCCATCAGTATTCAAAGGGAGTCATCTCTCCACAAACCAAATGCTTCTATTTAAAAGTACCTACATTTTCTAGGTTGTATATACTTGCAAGCACTGAGGATGTCAACAGAACACTGCAACACGTTCAGTTGTAAAGTTCTACTCAGTTCACAGAAGTTATTTAACATAAACTGTATCGAAAGCTTACAAAAACTACTATCCCACATATAATCTGTGTTATACACAATTTGCTTCAAATTTCCATGTCATTTTACAGCCTTTTTCTGTACTATACAATGTTATTGGCCACTAAAGATATTACTAAAAGACAGGATCATTTTAATAGTAGGTTTAGTAAACAAAAAGAAAATGTTATCTTATATATTCATGTGATTTCAATTGTCTTTGTTTAAAAAAAAAAAAACCTGAGATATGTACAGTACAATTAATTCCATTGGAGAAAAGGAAAATCTGTACTAGAACCAACTAATTCATCTACTTTATCGTCAACCATCTCATCCTCATCTTCCTCTTCTTCCTCTGTCTTGCTCTCTTATCCTTGAATACTCTTCTTGGAAATCCCCTGGGTGTCCAGTGGTTGAGAAACCACCTTCAATGCAGGAGAGGCAGGTTCAGTCCCTGCTTGGGGAACTAAGATCTCACATGCTGCAGGGGCAACTAAGACTCAGTGCAGCCAAAAAGAAAAAATCTTTAGAAAAAAGAAAAAAAAAAACTTTCCTTATTAAAAATAAAGTTCTCACCTGGGAATAATTTTAGATTATTAAACACAGCACCAAGAGTTCTCATATACCAGTCAACCAATTTCATCTATGATTAACTATCTAATCTAACCAAACCTTACCTTACCATGGCACCTCTGTCAAAACCAGTGACTAACATGGGTGCTTTATTACTAATTAAGCCCCAGTCATTATTGGGATCTCAGCAGTTTTTCCACTAATGTCCTTTCTCTGCTCCAGGACTCAACCTAGGATACCACACTGCATTTAGGATGATCCCTTTTTCCCTATGTCAGGCTCTCCATTAACCTGGTAAAGCAATAATACATTTGCAAATCTTCTTCCATTTAGCATAAGGCTGCTTGTGTGTGTGTGTGTGTGCACTAAGTCACTTCAGTTTCGTTGCAACGCTATGAACTGTAGCCCACCAGGCTCCTCTGTCCATGGGATTCTCCAGGCAAGAATACTGGAGTGGGTTGCCATTTCCTCCTCCAGGGGATCTTCACGAACCAGGGATCAAACCCACCTCTCCTGCACTGCAGGCAAATTCTTTACTGCTGACCCACCAGGGAACCCTTAAGGCAGCATATCACCTCCTTAATCAACATTCTCCCAATTCCTCTGCAACATCTGCAGGGTGTTCTCCTTTGACTTCTGGCCAACATGCAGCATGAAACAAGGTTAAAAGAAGCTTTTCAGTGGATTGGGATTCTTAAGACTTCTTCTCTTTCCCCTTCGGGGAGACACAAGACTTTCACAAGGCTTGCATACTTTTGCTACGTCTTCAAGTTTTCATCTCTCCTCAGTAAACATACTGCTCTTTACTAAGCATTTCTGAGAAAATTCTATGAAGTTGACTGAAGCATCCTGTGTGCCTTCCTGCAGGTTGGCATCTAGAAGGCACGTGACATCATGTCATTTTGCCTCCCAGCTTTTGATGATATCCTTTATTCATGTTTGAGTATTTTATTGTCAGTGAAGCACAGACTCACCGGGTGCTGATTCAGGTTGTTTTTCTTTTCTTTTTTTTTTTTCTGATACCTACACACTGCTTTATTTATTTGGCTGCACTGGGTCTTCGTTGCTGCACACAGGCTTTCTCCAGTTGTGGACAGTGGAGCTGTTCTCTAGTTGCAGTATGCGGCTTCTCGCTGCAGTGGCTTCTCTTGCTGCGGTGCACAGGCTCCAGGCACACGGGCTTCAATAGTTGCGGCCCAGGGGCTCATCAGTTGTAGCTGGAGGCCCCTAGTGAGTGCAGGCTTCAGCAGTTGTGAACGGGCTCACTTGCGCCACTGCATGTGGGATCTTCCCAGACCAGGGATCAAACTGGTGTTCCCTGAATTGGTAGGCAGCTTCCTATCCACTATGCCACCAGGGAAGGCCCCCATTCAGGTTTATCTGCTATCTTACTGCAGGTCAGTGTACTACCACAGAATTTCTCCCCCAGCACTGATTTTTAGCCCTCCTTCAATCAAGACCCAACAGCACTGCTCTCTTATTTAGACTTGAAGCTTTTATCCCATTACTGATACAGGACTTGTTATTTCTCCTTTTATTCCTTATCTGGTTTCTAAAACATATACACAGTCATAAGCACAAAGTTATTACTCAATTTAAAAAAACACAGCAACAATCATTGTGTTGTTTTTTCACTGCAGAGAAAATAACTTCCATTGCATGCCCTTTGTCAAAAGTATTATTTAAATTATAACAAATTATTATACAGAGACCACATATAATTTGCTTGACTATTACTGATATTTGGGCAGGCTATAATTTTATTGATTGATTGATTTGACTTCCCTGGGTCTTCGCTAAAGCTTGTGGGATCTGGTCCCCTGACCAGGGATCTAACCCTGGCCCCTGGCCCCCTACACTAGGAGCACAGAGTTTTAGCCACTGGACCACCAGCAAAGTCCTGTGGCTACAATTTTTCACACTGAAAAATGTCAAAATTTCTCACTGAAAAGTTCTGGGCTTTAACTTTTTTTTCTGAGAATTTTTAAATAAGTTTTCCTAAGTAGAATTATTAAATCAAAGGGCACAGCTTAGGGCTTCTACCAGCCATCAATGACATCTGTTAAAACACAGTGGGAATTCACACTATTTGTGACAGCTGAAGAAGCTGATATAAGTCTGACAACACATTTTCTCCCTTTTAGGGATATTTGGAAACCCAGAGAATAATTTTCAGGATCCATGAATTCAGTGATTCCCAGGATAAAGCAGGAGTTGGAACATAATCTCAGCAAAGATGTATCATTTTCCAAGTGGTTGAATGCCAAATGGCAGATTCTGGATTTGCTGTTGTTGTTCAGTCCCTAAGTTGTGTCTGACTCTTTGTGACCCCATGAACTCTGGCAAGGCAGGCTTCTCTATCCATCACTATCTCTCTGAGTTTCCTCAAACTCATATCCACTGAGTCAGTGATGTCATCCAACCATCTCATCCTCTGTCGTCCCCTTCTCCTCCTGCCTTCAATCTTTCCCAGCATCAGGGCCTTTTCAAATGAGTCAGCTCTTTGCATCAGGTGGCCAAAATACTGGAACTTCAGCATCAGTCCTTCCAATGAATATTTAGGGCTGATTTCCTTTAAATTAACTGGTTTGATCTCCTTGCTGTCCAAGGGACTCTCAAGAGTCTTCTCCAGCACCATAGATCAAATACATAATTCTTCGGCGCTCGGTCTTCTTTATGGTCAAACTCTCACATCCATACATTACTACTGAAAAAACCACAGCTCTGACTAGACAGACCTTGGTCAGCAAAGTGATGTCTCTGGCTGTTTAAAACACTGTATAGGTTTGACATAGCTATTATTCCAAAGAGTAAGAGTCATTTAATTTTGTGGCTGCAGTCACTGTCTGCAGTGATTTTGGAGCCCAAGAAAATGAAATCTGACACTTTTTCCACATATCCCCCACTGATTTGCCATGAAGTGATGGAACTGGATGCCATGATCTTTGTTTTTTGAATGTTGAGTTTTAAGCCAGCTTTTTCACTCTCCTTTTTCACCTTCATCAAGAGGCTCCTTAGTTCCTCTTCACTTTCTGCCATTAAAGTGGTATCTATCATCTGCATATCTGAGGTTGTTGATATTTCTCCCAGCAATCTTGATTCCACCTTGTGATTCATCCAGTCCAGCATTTCACATGATGTAATCTGCATATAAGTTAAATAAGCAGGGTGACAATACACAGCCTTGACGTACTCCTTTCCCAATCTGGAACCAGTCCTTTGTTCGATGTCCACTTCTAACTGTTGCTTCTTGTCCTTGCATACAGGTTTCTCAGGAGGCAGGTAAGTTAATGATGCAGAAGTAGATTTTTTTTTTTTGAATTCCATTTCTTTTTCTACGATCCTGCGGATGTTGGCAATTTGATCTCTTGATCCTCTGCCTTTTCTAAATCCAGCTTGTATATCTAGAAGTTCTCGGCTCATGTACTGTTGAAGCCTAACCTGAAGCATTTGCGGCATTACCTTGCTAGCCTGTGAAATGAGTGCAGTTGTGGGGTAACTTGAACATTATTTGGCATTGCTTTTCTTTGGCACTGGAATGAAAACTGACCTTTTCCTGTCCTATGACCACTGCTGAGTTTTCCAAATTTGCTGGCATAATGAGTGCATCACTGACAGCATCATCTTTTAAGATCTGAAATAGCTCAGATAGAATTCCATCACCTCCACTAGCTTTGTCTGTAGTAAGACTTTCTAAGGCCCACTTGATTTCACACTCCAGGATGTCTGGCTCTAGGTGAGTGCCCACATCATCACGGTTAACTCGGTCATTAAAAGCTTTTCTGTACAGTTTTTCTGTGTATTCTTGCCACCTTTTCTTAACATCTTCTTCTTCTGTTAGGTTCTTGCCATTTTCGTCCTTTATTGGGCCTATCTTTGTATGAAACATTACCTTGGTAATTCCAATTTTCTTAAAGAGATCTCTAGTCTTTCCCCTTCTATTCTGGATTAAATGTGGAAAAAAGGGACCATGGGTCATCAAATCTGGTCTACCACCTGTGTTCATTGGAGAAGGAAATCGCACCCCACTCCAGTATTCTTGTCTGGAAAGTCCCATGGACAGAGAAGCCTGGTAGGCTACAGTCCATGAGGTGTCAAAGAGTAGGACACGACTTAGTGACTAAACAACCTGTGTTCATAAATCAAGCTTTATTTTAATACAGCCATACCTTTTATGTGAAATGCAGTAGTGAGCAGTTGCAGCAAAGACTATATGAGCTGCAAAACTTCTCTGGCCCTTAAAAGAAAGGGTCTGCCTGACGACTGCACAAGACCAAGAAGCTTTTTTTTTTAATTTAGCTGCTCCAGGTCTTAGTTGAGGCACATGGGATCTTTAGGTGAAGAATATAAACTCTGTTGCAGCATGTGGGATCTAGTTCCCTGACCAGGGACAGAACCCAGGCCCCCTGCATTCGAACCATGGAGTCTTAGCCACTGGACCACCAGGGAAGTCTCTAGACTATGAGGCCTTTAGGACAGGCACTGAGCATCCCTTAACACAGCACCCGATCGGTGGCGCCTGGTTGAGTAAAGTCTGCTGCCTGAATTTTTGCTTTCTTTCCATAGTCACTAGAATAATGACTTACACAATGCAAACTTCTTAAATGACTATTCTGTTTCTTAGATCCATAACTACATCTTTACTTCCACAGGTACCTAACTCTGATCCCAATCTTCACAACTGTATAGCTTATCCCCTTCCTGATGTATAATCCTCATAAAAACTAAGTTAATCTTCCACCTTGCACCATCATAACATTCTTGGCTAAAACCCAATCCGTTTTAGCAGCCCCCTATTTTCAAGCTATTGCTCAATCCAGTATTCTTATTTCTATAGAAAACTCTCCAACTAGTCCCTCAAAGCCTCTGATCACAGCCTCTCTCTTCCAGCTGACAAAAATCTGCTTGCTACGCAGGATTTCCACAAGCACAAAAGGTGCCTTTGAAAAATTTTATATAGGGGCACTCTAACAGGAAGGCAGATCATCAAGATGTTCAAATGCTCCTTCCTTAGAACTAGCCTCATATCAAGGCTCAGGGGTTAAGAAAAAGGTATAGTTTGTAGAAGACCAAGCTGGATTTTGGCCCTGATCGCTCTCTAAGCCTGGGCTTAGAGTCTCTACAGCCTCAGCGACTCTGCTGCCTACCATACCCAGCTGGACAGTTTCCTTCACCATCACATTTCCATTCATTTCAACTGACCCCACTTCCAATGTCCTTTGGAACTTGACTCTTTCACCTTCCTTAGATGTGCATTCCCTGAGCAATTAAATATTCAGCCTGTTACTGCCAGGTGCAGCACTCACTGATATGTTACTACTACCTCTGACTGTTTCAAGCCATTGACTTCCCTACTTAACCAAGTTCCTCAAGAAAAGAAAGCATTTATTTTGCCTTACAGGCCCCAGAGATCTTGCCGTCATGACCTATTTTCATCAAAGTTGACTGAATATAATAAAGGAAGACTAAATATGCCTTAATATTTTCCCTTATTTGAAGAATACAATTGGTGTAATACAATTGAAATCTGGATTTTAGACTTTTCCAGGACCTTCTCCTAAAGTTGGGACACTGGATCTATGAATGCCCTTTTTCATCACTGCAATTACAGATATCATGGCAATCGGAACACTGACAGCACCAGAGAAAACCAGAACCCTCCCCCTTTAGGAAGTCCACTAACCAGAAACTTCCCAAAGATACTGTTTCCCAAGAATCACCTGAGATTCTTCCTAGACACACAAGTTACTGGAGGCCGCCTCAGTTCCCCTGAGACAAACTCACTGGGAGATGGGCCTGGAAATTATTATTTTTAACAAGCGTGCCAAGTGTTACCTATGTTAATTGAAGTCTGGGTGACGGTGCACTAGAGATGATCCCAGGAGAGTTGCTCTCATTCTTTATCCTCCCAGTTACAGAGCAAACAGTAAAGGGCTTACTCTCTTAGAGTAACAGACTGTTGGTCACTCGGTTGTGTCCGACTCTTTGCAACCCCATGGACTGCAGCCCTCCAGCCTCCTCTGTGCAGAGAATTCTTCAGGCAAGAACACTGGAGTGGGTGGCCGTTCCCTTCTCCAGGGGATCCTGACCCAGATCAAACCCAGGTCTCTCGACACTGCAGGCAGGTTCTTTACCATCTGAGCCACCAGGGAAGCCCCAGAGTAACAAGACAAGCTCTAGCTGGCATAAAACTACTTCAACATGAAAGTGATACAGATCAGCACTCAGTATTTGGTTAATATAATATCTCGTTAACCAAATGCAAAGCACATATTGCTTATTTCACTTTCAACAGGCAACATTTAACTAAGACAAGAGAAAGATTTTGGAAACAGAACCCAAATAGGCAGTCCCAAGCCCCATCTCTCAACTAGTACCTCACCTTGATTCCTCTTAGGAAATCAAGTCCTAAAGAAACATAATTATGACAACATCAGCACGAAACTAAGGCATATCTAATAATAACAGCAGGAATAGTTCCACACTACCAATGCTCACGATGCTAAAACATCAAAAGTCTTTCTTAAGTTGATGATACTGGTGTCAAACTCAGGGAACAGAATATTTCAGATTTCCCTAGCCAAGAGTAAGACATGCTATTTCTAAAACCACAGAGATACTTACCTGAGGCACAACATCTTGCAGAAAAGTCACTACACTTTCCATGTAGGACTGCTCCCTGAAAAAAGGGTGAGATGGAAAAAATTTAACATGACAGCTAAATATGAAATAAGGAAAAGCTCTTTCTACAAGCCCTAAGAAAGTTATTCATAATACTTAAAAAAGAAAAATTCATAATACTTAAAAAAGAAAAAAGCAACTTTCATCACCTGGTAATTCTGCTAACTTGCTTTCTTAATTTTTCTGAATATGTTTTTAAACACAAATGAACTTTAAATTTCTTTCAAACATTAACTCTTCTTAAAAGTCATGCTTTTTTTTTTTTTTTTTTTGGCTGTGCCAAATGGCATGCAGGATTTCAGTTCCCTGATCAGAGATCAAGCCTGTGCCCCCTGCAATGGAAGCAAAGAGTCTTAACCACTGGATCACCAAGGAAGTCCCTCCATTTTTTTTAAATTGAAGTAGACTCTGGTTCCATTCCTGGGTTGGGAAGATACTCTGGAGAAGGGAAAGACTACCCATTCCAGTATTCTAGCCTGGAGAATTCCAGAACACTGGGTCACAAAGAGTAGCCTCCCTGGTGGCTCAGCTGGTGAAGAATCTGCCTGCAATGTGGAATACCTGGGTTTGATCCCTTGGTTGGGAAGATCGCCTGGAGAAGGGAAAGGCTACCACTCCAGTATTCTGGCCTGGAGAATTCTATGGATTGCATAGTCCATGGGGTGGCAAAGAGTCAGACACGACTGAGTGACTTTCACTTCACTTCACAGTTGAATCACAATATTGTGTAAGTTTCAAGTGTACAGAGCAAGGTGATTCAGTTTTCTATTTTTTCCCAATTCTTTTCCATTATAGGTTATTATAAGGTATTGTATATAGTTCCCTGGGCTATATATTAAATCCTTATTGTTTACTTTATGTCTACTAGTCTATACCTGTTAATCCCATACTCCTAGCTTATCCCTCCCCTTCTCTTTCCACTTTGGTAACCATAAGTTTGCTTTCTTTATTTGTGAGTCTATCTCTGTAAAATAAGTAAGTTCATCTGTATTTGTTTTTAGATTCCACATATAAGTGCTATCATAGATTTGTCTTTCTTTGCCTGGCTTACTTCACTCAGTACGATAATCTTTAGGTCCATCAATATTACTGCAAATGGCAATATCTCATTCTTTTTTATGGCCACATGGTCTCTTATTTTGATATACTGGATTGGCCAAAAAGTTCATTTGGGTTTTTCCATAAGATACTACAGAAAAACCCATATGAACTTTTTGGCCAACCCAACAGATACAACTTTTAACTTGTACCAAAGGAGTGATGACAGAAGACTTGACTAAACAGGATCTTCCTAAGTCAGAGCAGAAGAATGCCCTAGTTAGAGCAAGAAAAACTACTGCTGATGACTCAGTATTCAATGATGTTCTCTTTAAATTGGTTATAAACCTAATCCTAATCCCTTACCTGTGTACAGCAAAATGAATCTGTTTTGATGCAGGTGCAGGCATTAGGAGTTACTAAGAAATCCTCACAGAATTCTTGACATAGGTAAGACATGGGAAAACATCAAAATGCATAGAAGTGAAGAACTACTAAGGACACTGCATGTGCGTGCGCGAGTGCACTGTCACGTCCAACTCTTTGCAACCCCATGGACTGTAGCCACCAGGCTCCTCTGTTCATAGGATTTCTGCAGGCAAGAATACTTCAGTGGGTTGCCATTTCCTCCTCTAGCGAATCTTCCCAACCCAGGGATTGAACCCACTTCTCCCATGTCTCCTGTATTGGCAGGCAGATTCTTTACCACTAAAACACCTGGAAGCCCATATGAAGGATCCTGAAGATATTTCAAATGTGAAATATATGGGTATCAGCAAATGGAGAAAAAAAGATTATTCAAAACACCAAATCAACTTCATTTTAGAAAAATGTGAAAAATTACATTTGAAGGAAACAATGTGAGTTATCCTAAATCCTATTTTGTGTACAGAGCAAGGTGATTCAGTTTTCTATTTTTTCCCAATTCTTTTCCATTATAGGTTATTATAAGGTATTGTATATAGTTCCCTGGGCTATATATTAAATCCTTATTGTTTACTTTATGTCTACTAGTCTATATCTGTTAATCCCATACTCCTAGCTTATCCCTCCCCTTCTCTTTCCACTTTGGTAACCGTAAGTTTGCTTTCTTTATTTGTGAGTCTATCTCTGTAATATAAGTAAGTTCATCTGTATTTGTTTTTAGATTCCACATATAAGTGCTATCATAGATTTGTCTTTCTTTGCCTGGCTTACTTCACTCAGTACGATAATCTTTAGGTCCATCAATATTACTGCAAATGGCAATATCTCATTCTTTTTTATGGCCACATGGTCTCTTATTTTGATATACTGGATTGGCCAAAAAGTTCATTTGGGTTTTTCCATAAGATACTACAGAAAAACCCATATGAACTTTTTGGCCAACCCAACAGATACAACTTTTAACTTGTACCAAAGGAGTGATGACAGAAGACTTGACTAAACAGGATCTTCCTAAGTCAGAGCAGAAGAATGCCCTAGTTAGAGCAAGAAAAACTACTGCTGATGACTCAGTATTCAATGATGTTCTCTTTAAATTGGTTATAAACCTAATCCTAATCCCTTACCTGTGTACAGCAAAATGAATCTGTTTTGATGCAGGTGCAGGCATTAGGAGTTACTAAGAAATCCTCACAGAATTCTTGACATAGGTAAGACATGGGAAAACATCAAAATGCATAGAAGTGAAGAACTACTAAGGACACTGCATGTGCGTGCGCGAGTGCACTGTCACGTCCAACTCTTTGCAACCCCATGGACTGTAGCCACCAGGCTCCTCTGTTCATAGGATTTCTGCAGGCAAGAATACTTCAGTGGGTTGCCATTTCCTCCTCTAGCGGATCTTCCCAACCCAGGGATTGAACCCACTTCTCCCATGTCTCCTGTATTGGCAGGCAGATTCTTTACCACTAAAACACCTGGAAGCCCATATTAAGGATCCTGAAGATATTTCAAATGTGAAATATATGGGTATCAGCAAATGGAGAAAAAAAGATTATTCAAAACACCAAATCAACTTCATTTTAGAAAAATGTGAAAAATTACATTTGAAGGAAACAATGTGAGTTATCCTAAATCCTATTTTTTAAAAAAGTAACATGCCTTAGATACCTATAAACACTGGTCAGGCCTTCCTCTCCAACCTCATTTTTCTCCCCCGCTCCTTACCTAGCCGGCTTCAGTCACATGCAACTTCAGTTCCTAGACCACACCAAGCTCTTCTCTGAATCAAGACCCTTACATCAGCCTTTGCTCTCCATGGATTCCTTCTCAAAGTCTTCCCTGTCTTTCAGATCTCCAGCCTTAGTGTTACCTCCTCAGAGAGGCCCTCCCTGACAGCCTTAAATCACGCCCTCCGATGTCACTCTCCATCAGAGAACACTGGGCACTGAGCGCAGCCTGTAATTACTTTATGGACTGGGTCCCCCACTGGAATGCAAACTCTATTACAGAAAGGAATCCCTCTCTCATATTTACCTGTTATCTCCAGAATCTTTAAGTCAATATTTAGGTGCAGAGTAGATGCTCAAGCATTACTTGTTAAGAGAACACTGAATAAGTTAAAGAACTTCCAAAAAACACTAAAATTACATGTTGCGTAACGAAAGCAATATATGTGGAATACCATATGGTGAGGCAGCAAGAACAGTGCATAAAGCGCACAGACTCTGGACACAAACTGCCTGGGTTTGATCCAGGTTTCCTTTCTTGGCTATTATCAAGGAAAATTGGTATCTCTCTGCTTTGGTTTCCTCACCTGTAAAACGAAGACTAAAATAGTACCTAACTCATAACTAATAATATGCTTAACCTATTGCCATGGTCCTTAGTTAGTGAAGGAATTTACAGCCTTGGGAAACACAAGAGGAACAGAAAGGAAGTTTAATGGTAAATTATCATAGTTTGTATGTATTTCTGTTAATCTATGAAGGCAATCTTTATGTAACATGCTAAACTGTCCAAGGGAAATAATCCAAAATGCTACAATTCCCTTATGAACATTTCTGAAAGACTGAAAACAAATTTCATCTCCTTAGCCAGCTATTCAAGGGTCTTGATTGTCCACCCAAACCTCCTTTAAATAGTTCAACTTCCCTAAGATTTCGTTTATGAAAACAGCTTGCCTTTCCCACATCTGCTCACTCCATCCCCTTTGCTGAAAATGTGCCCTTGATTCTAACTGCCCAAATTATATTCTACTTTTAAAGTATGCTATAAATTTTAGCTTCTTAACAAAACCTTTTCAGATCTAAAGTACTCCAACTAAATACTTCCACTAAAATATTCCCTCTAAGTTCTCATGCTATTTTGCTGGCATCTTTTTTATTCATTATAGTGCTTACAAGTATACACATCTTAAACTACATTAGATTATAAGCTCCTAGAAAGTACAGACATGCTTTGTCAAAAAATGCTTAAAATATAGAAATGTACTCTCTGTGACACTGACTTTGAAACTTTCTGACTGAGACCTGGAGTGATATATTTTACATCACAATATAGTATTCTTGCCAAGAAAATCCCATGGACAGAGGCGCCAGGTGGGCTACAGTCCACCGGGTCACAAAGAGTTGGACACAACCGAGCACATCCACACACACAGTAAACATACACATACATGTGAATGAATATATCTATGTGCTTGTCAGAACACAATACTAACCTACACTGTCTATTATATTCTAGTTTTTAAATGGTCCTGATCGACTAAACTGATTTAAGAAAGTGAAGTCGTTCAGTCGTGTCCAACTCCTTGCAACCCCATGGACTGTAGCCTATCAGGTTTTGCAGTCCATGGGACTTTTCAGGCGAGAGTGCTGGAGTGGGTTGCCATTTCCTTCTCCAGGGGATCTTCCCAACCCAGGGATCGAACCCAGGTCTCCCCCATTGTAGGCAGACGCTTTACCCTCTGAGCCACCAGGGAAGCCCTGGTGATATAATGACCCACTAACTGTTAAAACTGAGGTTTGAAAAAACAGTACTCATGTGTTTTTCATGTACTCTATAAATGTGCTAAACACATCAAATTAACCCTCCAATTATTGCTTTTATTTGGCTTTGGCAATCAATGATATCTGTCATCCTGTAAAGCCAAGTTAAACAGATTTTCAAAAGTAAGCACTGCTCAGGAAAGAAACCCCACTGCTAGTTACTATTCTGAGTAATCTTTCTTTCACGTATCAGATTCATCTGAAATTCGCTTACGTGACAGCCTGAGGGCGAACCACAGCTCCACCAGTACAACGACTGGGTCTTCTGGGGGAGTCTGTAGCCATTGCTTCATTCACAAAACCTGTTTCCAGAATGAAGAGACAGACAGGGGAAAAAAAGGATCATTACTGTTCAGGATAGGAAGAAAGATATATGGTTGCTTGCAAGAGATCCATTGTCAAAAATACATAAAATATAGGAAAATTTCCCAGCAGTTCCTCTTACACCTGAAAGGGCAGAAGGCAGAATATGAAGAAGTAGACAAAATTACTTTTCAAACTACTGTGAGGTCTTCTTATTTGGACCAAGCCTCAGAACCACAAAACTAGTTAAGACTCTTTGTAGGACCGGCTGAGCTCCTGTTAACATAAACTAGGAAGGGATGGAAAGTCTAGCACAGGATCACTTTATAAAACCAAATGTGCTACCTTTGTGAGCCAAAATTAAAGAATTTACTGAACTCTAATGTTGAGATAATAAAAAATATACAAGGTACAGTATTTTAAGACCAAATGGAGCAGTGAGGTAACACCTTCCAAATAAGATCTTTGATAATCTATGAGTAAGACTACATATGTATCCTAATGGGTGTTTTCTAGTCTTCTTGTGGTGATCATTTCAGAATATATACAAATACTGAATCATGGATACACTGAAACTAATCTTTTATGTCAATTATATACTTAAAAAGAGACTGCATGGTCACAATTTAACAAGACTTTCAAAATCATATCTGTTAACCCCTCTGCTATTGTAACCTAATCACCAGAGTCTAAGTAAGTAATAAAAACTTATATGACATTGGAAGCCCTTTATCCTTTCCAGTCCCGTCACTGAATCCTGATTCTTGAATGTCTAAAAAACATCTGAATCACTTGGGAGGTTTTAAAAGCATGGAACACACTTGGTTAAGGTTAAAAGAGATAGCAATGTGAAAGATCTTAGGAGACAGCACACAGCCTGGAGCTAATCTTGAAAGCCCCTAAAGCCACCTCTTTTAAACAAGGGGCATTCTATCACCTTAATGGAAATCTCGCCACAGACGATTCCCATCTGCTACAAGCAAAAGACCCTCCGCCCCAGCTACCCCAGGGACCCCTTCCTCAGAAGGTACCTTCACCTCCAGCCTCTCAGCCCTCTCATTTCCATTCCACCCTTTATTTCTCGAAACACAGCCTCCCAAGAAACTGTCCTTAAAGACCCTGTCTCCCGAGAACGACCCTCGCCAGCCCCTCAGGCCCCACTCTCCTGAAAGACATCAGCGCGGCGCTACCCACTTAACCTCCAACACCGAGCCGCCACTGCCCCCGGCCGCCCTCTGGCCCCTGGCCCTGCCTCCCCTCCCCCTCCGACCTCCACAGCCCCTCCTCGCCGGATCCCCGCCAGCCAAACCTCCTGCCCTCACGCTGCCCGTCCCTGGTCCTCGCCCAGCCTCGCCCGAGCCACACCGCACCACCAGCCCTCTCACCGGCCGCCCCGCCGGTAAACGCTGCGCTCCAGCTCAAGGCTCAGTGTTTGGAGTCTCCCCCTCGTGATTGACGGTTACCACTTCCTACCACGCCTCAGCGGAACTACCTCTCCAGCCAATCCCAGGAGCACACCGGCCGCAGCCGGGCACCGCCCTCAGGGGTCAGCTTCTCCAACCAGCAAGTAGGAAAGAGGCGGGCCCGCCTCCTGAATTGACCCAATCCGCTGGGGCTCGAGGGAAAACAAAACAGTATGTCGAGTTCGAGTGAAGCCGAGGTGTCAGGTTCGGTTGCGAACGCAGGCAGGTGGCGGGGAGTTACAAACACGTCTGTTTTCCTCTGTGCCCAGCGCCTTAGTGGCCAGTCACAAAGCGTCATGCCGCAGAAGCCTGTGCCCCTCATTCGGACGTCGCAGGCTAGCAATCAGACTCAACACCGGGACGGGTGTGTTTACATCGAATTCTCGCGACAGCTGGTTCGAAGCTGAAAGCACGTGGACATGGCAGCTGCCAATCACTTTTCGCTGGCCACTCAGCCATTCCGAACCCGCCTTCTGCCCCGCCTTTTTCGATGTGTTTACCTTCCGGGAGCTGAGGCTGGTTTGCCCCCGGTGGGCTCCCGGGAGCCGGGGTGGTGATCTGAATGAGGGGTGCGGCTGTCATTTTGTCTTGTTTGACCTAGGTGGTGGACCACGCCTCCTTCCTCACTTTGTTTACACTTCCCGTAAGGAACAGATGGAGATCTCCCTGGTGTCATTCCGTCAGTGACATTTCTTTTATAATAATGATAACATTTATTGTTATGCTGAAGACCTAAGCACTTCATAAGCACTATCAAATATAATACCTCTGACAGTCCCTTGAGACTATGGATCATTAATAGCCATGGGGTTTGTAACAGAGCTGTTGATACCACAGTAAAAATTTTAAAAAGGTTTTAGCACCGTGAGAAGGAAAAAGTTTAGTCGAGAAACTGTCTCACCGGAAATATGCAGTTAATCAGGTGCTGGAGAGATAAATATAGATATAGCCAAGAAACCATCCATTTGATTATGATGCTCAATTAGTGCCAGTAAAAAAGGACACCCAAAGTGATATTTATCAGCCTAATGTCTGAACATTAGGTTAATGAAAGATTTTGAGAAAATTTATCTTCTTCCACTACACAAATGCCCAGCACCTTCAGTCTTTTATAAGTCTTTTGCTTTCTACATGAAACCCTATAAGGAAGGAATTTTCCCCAATATTTTGAATTATTTTTGATCTTTTACTATCCCTGGCTTACTTGTTGTCTCTGAAAATGGTTTTTTTTTTTTTTTTTGGTTATTTCCCTAAGGCATGTCTTATTTTCTCCCATGGAAAATTAAACTCTAAAAAAAAAAAAAGAAAAGAAAATTAAACTCTTCCTAGGCATGAGTAGACTAAGGCTTTCATATTGTTGAATTCCCCTTAACACCTAACAAGCCTGAATACAACAGATAGTTCAAAATTCAGAGTTAGTTAATTAAGTCATTATTATTCTCATGTTGTCTGTGACCCACAAAAAGGAATAAAGACAAAATCCAGAGGAGACCAATAGGTAACAATCACAAGTAGAATAACTAGTATTTGTACAGGTGTTTCAGTCTAAATAACTGTTGCATATGCATTTTTAAACTCCATAACTCTTTCACTAGTCCTCTTCAGTTATGGGAGAAACAAGGAGACAAAAATTATAAACACAAATTCATTCAATCAGTAAATATCTGAACACCTCCTAAGTGTCAGTCATATTCTGACTGACACTGTTGATACAGCAATAAATAAATCAACCAATGTGTCTGTCTTCAACCAAAGAATTTGCACTCTGATAGGAAGACAGAAATATACAAAGATGGAACTTCAAACAGTGTAAAATGCTATGGGGAAAAAAATAAGCCAGATAAATAGAAATAAGCAATAGCTTATTTTAGGTAATGTGGTAAAGGAAGACCTCTAAGGAGATGGCATTTGAACCAAGGTTTCAATGAAGCAGGTTTTAAGCAGCTCTGAGTGAAAAGCAGTTTAGACAAAACAAACAACAGGTACAAAGGCCTTAAGAAAGGAATGCATTTTGAAGAAGAATGGGAAAAATAGTGTGGCTAAACAAAGTGGATTGGGACTTCTCTGGTGTCACAGCTAAGACTGTGCTCACAGTGCAGGGGCCCTGACTCAACCCCTGGTCAGAGAGCGGATCTCACACGCGACAACTAAGGGTTCACGTGGCTGCAACTAAGAGTTCTCGTGCCACGATTAAGATCCAGCATAGCTAAATAAATGTGTTCAAAAAACCCCAAAGTAGATTAAGTAGAAAATGATAGCAAACTAGTTAGGAAAGGTAAAGTGAAGTGAAGTGAAGTCGCTCAGTCATGTCCAACTCTTTGCGAGCCCATGGCCTGTAGCCTACCAGGCTTCTCCGTCCGTGGGATTTTCCAGGCAAGAATACTGGAGTGGGTTACCATTTCCTTCTCCAGGAGATCTTCCCGACCCAGGGATTGAACCCGGGTCAATCCAGCTAGGAAGTGTCGTGATCACACTTACACGGCCAAAAGACCATTATACCTACTAAACAGACGTCTTTAGGGAGGGCCAAGAGTGGAAGCAATGGGTCAAGTAAGGAGGCTATTTCAAGAGAGCAGATGGGAGAGCTATCTAGAACTGGGGCTAGAAGTGAAAGAGTAGAGGTGAAAAGTAATCAATTTCAGAATATTTTGGAAAACAGAATTGAAAGAACTTGCTAATGGGTTGGATGTATAAGAGAAGGGAGAGAGAGAATCAAAGATGCTGCCTGTGTTTTGGGCTTGAGCAACTGAGTAATGACATTTTATGGATCTGATGAACCCTGTTGAAGTCATACATTTTTTAGTGGAGGAGAATTTCTGTGACTTGGTTTCATCCTTTGTAAATTGTAAAAAGAAAATTATGCTCCTCCTAAGATTTTTTTTTAGTAATGTGATGGTTTGGCAGGAGGTATGTTTTATTTTGTTATGTTGTTTATTTTATTGATTTTTTTTTTTTTTTTGGCATGTGGGATCTTAGTTCCTAGACCAGGGATTGAACCTGTGCTCCCTGCAGCAGAAGCAAGGAGTCCCAACCACTGGATTGCCAGGGAATTCCCAGTATATTTTTTTAAGTTTTAAAAACTTTGAAAAGTTTAATGCTGGTACTGTTTATTTCCATATCAGTTGATACAATTTACATCATGTTTTATACTATTTCATCTTTGCAAAGACATCACATACACAGAAATACCTATTCAATAACTGGAAAATATGGAATGCTTCATTAATTTGCATGTCATCCTTGTGCAGGGGCTATGCTAAACTCCTCTGTATCATTCCACTTTGAGTGTATGTGTTGCCTAAGCAAGCATCAGCCTCTTGGGGTATTTATGAGGTGTAAATAAATTTAAAATTCTTGGGACTTGCTTGGTGGTGCAGTGGTTAAGAATCCTCGTTGCAATGCAGGGGACGAGGGTTAGATCCCTGTTTGGGGAACTAAGACCCCCACATACTGCAGGGCAACTAAGTCTGCAAACCACAACTAGCGACCCTGTGCACTGCACGATGGAATGAAGATCCCATGTGCTGCAACTGAGACCCAACACAGCCGAATAAATAAATATTTTTTTAAAAAATAAAATTCTCAGAGCCAGTTAGAAATGTGTACAAATTAACTAGTTCTTATCAGTCTTACAGGATTAGAAAGTTCCAAGCCCTAGGACCTACTTTCCTTTCTTATTGAAGCTTTCCTGCCAGAACACAGTAGCTTGTTATCTGCCTTGAATTGGAAAACAGTTTGCATTCCCACCTGTATATTTATTCATCCTTTTATGTAAGGCTTTGGCGTGCAATTCTCAATTCTTTAAGAGACGACAACAGACTTGGTTTTCCACTGTTATGTGAGAACATTAAGCCCCAGCAACTCGTCATTGCCAGGAGATAAAAGTGCTACAGTAAACCAAGAAAACAACAACAAAAAAATCAGCTATTTTGAATTACTCCATTTTTTTTTTCTCCACAGAGATGGTGTTCAATTCACTCATGAGCCTCAAATAGAAAACAGAATTTGTGGTGATTGTGTTTTAACTTTTTAGCTGTGCTGGGTCTTCACCGCTGTGCCTGGACCTTCTCGCTGCAGCAAATGGGGGCTAGTCCCTAGCTGCAGCATGCGGCTTCTCTTGTTATTCAGCACAGACTCGAAAACACTCAGGCTTCAGTAGTTGCAACTCTCGGGCTCTAGAATGCAGGCTCAGAAGTTGTGGCGCATGGGCTTAGTTGCCCCACAGCATGTGGAAGCTTCCCGAACCAGGGATTGAGCCCTATCCCCTGCATTCACAGGAGGACTCACAACCAACCCGACCACCAGGTAAGTCCTGTGGTAATCATTTTTTGAATGAACATGACTTGTGGGGGGCTTAGTACATATTGTTAGTTCATGAGTCATTTCAGATGACTGGGTCATGGAGAAACTTTTCAATAGTCTCTTCTTTGGATTAAGCAATCCCAGCTGGGAAACTCATTTTCAGTGTAAAAGTAACTTCAAGCTAGAGTCCTGTTTTCTTCCAGGTGCCATAATGGCCCATTGTAATAAATCACTGATTACTAAAATCCCGTGGCCCTGCAGTCCAGAATCAAAAGTTTGAGATTTGTCAAGGAACTATCCATAAGCAAACCAAACATCAAGATCAGTTAATATTTTCTCCTCTATTTTTGTTTGGTAGGATTAGAATTCTATTTTTAGCCTCAAACGAGCCATTGCCTCACTTGCTTTGGCCACAAAAACACTTGGACAATACTTATGTGATTTAAGCAGTGGTGAAATAGCCTGATTTCACACAGAACTATGGTGAACATTAATATTTAATTGTCAGTCAAGTATAAGGAAAAACAAAGAAGGAATTCCCTGGCAGTCCAGTGGTTAGGACTCCACACTTTCACTGCCAAGGGCTCGGGTTCAGTCCCTGGGAGGAGAACT